CTTTAAAAAAATGGGTATTTTGTTGTGTTTTGGGGCATTTAATTACATTTTTCACTAAATATTGGGGTTTAATAAGGAGTTGCGCTAATATTGCGCAACATAAAAATTTGCAACTACCACCATTTTATTCTATAGGGTCTTGGCATTCAGAAAATATATAATGTTGGGGGGTTTTAAGTAATTTTCAGGCCTAAAATGTGGAATATAACATGGGTACAAAAATGAAAAAAAGGCCTCGGTCATGAAGGGGTTAATATATTCTCAGAAGTATAGCGCAGCTTCTATTATAAATGCTATAAAACTCCCATATTACTCCAAATCCCCCCTAGTTGAAATCAGCTACTTCTTAGGGTAAAATGGCAATTTCTTAAGTTATAAAGCCAAAATGTTTTTCCCCCATTTGAATACCGTAGTTAAAAGGCTTATACAGTATATCTAAAGCTGAAACATTTCGTTTTTTAGCATGGGTAAAAGGGTAAAACTCAGAGACTTTGGAGTTATCTTTCTGAAGGGTAAAAGTCAGTTTTTTTGCCATCTGTGTGCCATCAGGGAGGTTTTAAAATCACTTCCTGTCCCGTAGGAACAACAGGATATGACAGAAAATTACTCCAAAAGTAAAGAAAATCCCCTCCCAGAGAGTTGGCACTGAAACAAGTGTCGTCAGTGGAAAAAGATTTACCCTCTACTCTTTTGTCGACAATTGAAAATGTTGGATTTTCCTTTACTTTCAGCCCCAGTGACAGTGGACACCAGGACAAAGAGGGTGAATTCCCCTGTGGGTACTCATCACTAAAACAAATACATGGGTTGGTTTTAGAAACATCAAAACGTCTTTCTTTACTCAACACTACGAAAAATGAAGAAGTAAAAAACTGCTTGCTATACGTCAGCCTTTTCCAACCTACAATAACTTCTTGCCATGTGTATACTATCTGCTAGAAATGTGAACATCTCTCATTTGTAGTCAGACTGAATAGAGATGCATTAATAAGCAAGCCTGTTTAAGGAACATATAATTTCCCCACACTGAAGAACTGTACTAGAAAACTCAATTTCCATGTAGATTGCGTCTGGTCACTGATGAATAATTGAGCATTTCTAGTTTACTGAGACGCATAGTTTAAAGGGTAGAACAATTATTACAGTTCAAGTCAAAGGAGATCTATTGCATGTATTCTATTAAATGCGGTACCATGCACCGCGCTTGCGTGCCCTTCTCGTCGAGTTTGCGAACTATACACTGCGCTTGCGCTGTCCATTTCAATTACTAAAATACATACACTTATATATTCAGTAAATAAACCTCTTTAAAGAAAAAAACATATATATAAATCTACTAAAATAAGTAAAAATACATATTTTAGTAGTTTTATATTTTTTTTAAAGAGGTTTATTTATTTTAATATAATATATATATTATTTTTTTTAAATAATTTTTCAACTGTTTTCTTTCATTCTTTTCACTTATTTTTTCTTCTGTTGGCAGCATTTGAATATTCACTTACTGCCGTTCGGCCCCCATGAGAATAGGGGCGAACGGCAGCGAAGGAGCTGCCGGAGCTCCGGCTCAGCCGCTCCAGATGCACTTCAGTTCGAAGGCAGCCAGATGTATGGCTGATTTTAGCCGATTTAGGGCTGAAATTAGCCGTACAAGGCTGAAGTTAATAACCCCCTTAGTGATTATTAAAAAGGACTTCAGTGTGCTGGTGACATCTTACTACTATTGCCTGGCGGTGCCATCCGCAGTCACTATGAGCACCCCGCAAAATTTGGGACAGCCAGTAAGGAGTGCAACAAGGTATAAATACTGTGGCATTGCGTGGCAATACCATGGTGTTAGGTGGCCTCAAAGTCAGCCAGGATTCTCAGCCAGAGGGGCCGAGTGACTCCAGGAAGCAATTGCTTGTACCAGGAAAGAGCTGGCTTTCCAGGTTTTCAGGATCCCAACTATAATCCAGGAGATTTCTAAGAGCTCTGGGTGGGACGACATCTCCATTCCTGGGTCCATGGTTTAGTAGCGGCCAGCACCTAATTGTGCAGCTGTGTACAACTCTCATGAAAAGGGTGCTGGAATGTGTTGAGGGCCCCACCTGGGAGACAGGAGAACTCCACCAAAGAGTCATAGTGGAGTCCAGTGAAGCAGGGAGCTGCAAGTTTGTGAAGCCTAATGTGCATGTTAGCACATTATTGAGATTGTCTGCAGGAAACAGACAGTGGCCCCCAGGATTGAGGCCGGAGCAGCAGTGCTGCATGAGAAAACTGTCAAAAGACTGGGACACTGAGTGTGTGGGACAAATCTAGGATTGGCGAGCCAATGTATGTTATGCTAAAGGCAAGCTACTTTTACGTTGGACTTCCTTGATTATCGGCTGTTGAAAAAATAAAGACGTTTGTTTATGGAAAATTCCAGTGTGAGTGCTCTGCCTGCGTCAGTAGTTACGGAGTTGTTTGTTAAAGATGTCCGCAGCACACCATATTGAAGTGAAGAACACGTCTGTTTGACGCTTCATGTCAAAACAAATGGCAACGTTTCAGGGCCACACAGGGTCCCCTTCATCCAGTGGCGTCACTACAGGGGGGTATGGGGGGGCAATAGCCCCCCCTAGCTTATCACTTGCCCCCCCACTAACAGTGGCGGAAGTCCCGGCGCTAGCGCAAGACAAGAGAAATGGAATCCCTGTCCCGGCAGATAATTGTGCCTGGGACGGTTATCACAGTGTTATCTGCTGGGACAGGGGTTCTCCCCGCTGCAACCCCAAAGCCTGTCAGCGGTTTCTCCCCTCCACCCGCAGTCTACTCACCTCTTCATTCTAGCATAGCCAGCCTGCTATTTGCTCTTTTAAATTACAGTAGCCAATAACAGGCTGGCTATTGCACCTGCCTGCTGTCAATCAGCAGAGGTGGACCTGATAGAAAACTTCAGGTCCCTCCTCTGCTGATTGACAGCAGGCAGTGTGTGGGTGCAGTAGCCAGCCTGTTTTTGGCTATTGCAATTTGAAATATCCAATAGCGGGCTGGCTATTGCTTCCAGCAATGAAGTAAACAAAAAAAAGTTTAAAAAAATTAAATTAAATTTAAAAAAATGTTAAAAAAATAAAGTTAAATTAATAAGTACAAAATATATGTTACAAAAATAAAGTTAAACTAAAATTAAAAATCCCCCATAAAATTAAAGGCCCCAGCCCCCGCGAACACACGCATTAAAAAACAAAAACATAACATAAAATAAAACTTTTTTAATACTCACCTGATCCCTGGATCCACCGACAAGTGCAGCCTCCCGTCCCCCATGCTGTCAGAAGATGCATACATCGTGTGCTGGTTACTACTTAAACCAGCGCGCTGTGTGCAGCTTCTGAGAAGATACACTATTAGCGTAGCGGGAGCTATGCAAAATGCGCAGCCGGCTTCCCCGCTATGCCAATAGCGTATCTTCTCAGAAGCTGCACATAGCGCGCCGGTTTAAGTAGTAACCAGCACACGCTGTATGCAGCTTCTGTCGCAACCGCAGGGCGATGATGCCAGCCGCAATTAAATCAGCTCTCGGCGCCCATCGGTTGTGACAGGCAATGAAAATTATTAGTGCCCCCCCAGATCTGACTGTGGTATCTTATGTGCCCCCCTATATATTGTTCCTATAGTTGCCACTGCCTTCATCAGGCTTGAAATGAGTAGTTACTGAGTGACACCAATACTTTATTTCCCAAGGAACCCCTAGCAACCTCTGGAGGAACCCTAGGGATCAATGGAACCCTGGCTGGGAAAAGCTATTAAGGCATGCTGTGCATTAGTGAGGCCCTGTCAGACTTGTCAGAGCACTGAACTAGCTTACAAGAGTGAGTGATAAACCAGTTCCCCCAGAGGGTTACAAAATGAAGATGGCCTATTGCCAGGCTACATACTATTATGACATGATTGAAATATCCCTTGCAGTATTCGGTAAAATCACAAGCTTGATCTAGTTGTATTCCCCTGGGAGCTAATGCAGCACACCATTTCTCACACACACATGGATCAGACAAGCAGAATCTAATGTCCAAATACATTCCGCAAGGAAGCAGTGGTGGCATGAAAAGTGCATTATGAACCCAGATCACTGAGCAAATAAAAAACAGTGGACAGGCTAAAGACCCGAAATGAAAAAGAAAGAGATTGTCCATCTGCTCACATCCTAATCTGATCTAGCTGACACATCCTCTTGCTCCGTGCTTAGTGTGACATGTGCCAGGCACAGAGGACAGTGACCTGGAATGTGTTCTGCTGATCTAGGTGGACAGCAGCTCTGCAGGAGAACGTACATTAGGATTCCATCAGTGATCAGGGCAATGACTGCATGCATCCACACACAGAATGCAGGGAGGGGGGTCTATGATCACACATATGTACAGGTGGAGCGATCACCTTGTATTCCTGGGGGAGGGGGGCACACAGGTGATGTGTCATGTATTGGGACAGCCCAAAGATCACCTGTTACATACATCGCAGTGCACTAATCATCATCGGCTTACCTCCTTGATCTTGTCCCTCTTGTCCTTCACTGCGGGATCACTGGGCTCTCCCCCCACCGCTCCTAAAGGCTCCTTAAAGGGTCTGGGTAGCAGTTTTGCTCCGGCTGTCACCCTGCCCTGTGCCAGTAACTTCTCCTTGTCCCGTTGGATATCCCTTGGGATCTCCTCGATGGGCCGGTTCAGCGTGTCCTTGGCTTCCCGCAGCGCCCTCTCATGTTCCTCCCGGATCCTGGCTAGGCGCCCCCCATCCTCCTGGTCCGTAGGTCCGAGCGGGGAGCGCTGCGCCGAGGGCGGCTGAAACAAAACGCCGCTTAGCAGCTTGGGCGAGTCGGGCAGGAAGAAGATGGCCCCAAAGCACAGGGTGATGAAGCCGCTGAAGACCAGCAGTAGCACGAACTTCTCGGTAAGTCGGAACCCGGACAGCTTCCTTCCCGCGGGGCCCAACCAGTGCAGCCCGGACACTCCGCCTCCCGGGGTCGAACCGCCGGGCCCGCCCACGGCTCCGCTCCCCGACCCCAGCGGGGCCACACTGAACGGCAACAGGCTGCCCACCGGCATGGCTGCTGGCGCTTCTATACGCGGCACTGCCTCCCCCTTCTGGCCAGCAGAAAGTTTGTGTGAGCCGCGCACGGCACAAGAGCAGCAGCTAGCCGGCTGGGCTCAGTGAGAACAGCGTGTTCCTGAGTGCTCCGCTCCGTCCTGAGTCCGGCTGCCACTTCCAGGGCCGTTTGTCAGAGAGTTTATTGGAGGGGAGGAGCGAGGGAAGTGGTGAGCCCTCTGTGTGGGAATCCCTTCCTAATAACGGGGAGGCTGGACCGCTCACTCCCCCAGCCCCGGGGCGGGGAACACTTGACAGGTGACTGCACTCCCTATACACATACGGCTAGTCCTCATCCTGCCTCTACTCGGCACTCACTGAGCCTCGGGGCAGCGGCACACACAAGGAGACTCTGTCACCGCCTATCGCCAAAGGGAACGCCCATCTCCCGTTATCGATTGGCTGCGGGACAACGAGCACGGAACTATGTGATTGGCTGCTCCGACCGGGCTCTTGTCATAGCCTCCTCCGTAGAAATCACAGCGTTCTCTTCGGAAGCGGATAGAATGTTTCTCACAGATCTCTTCTGAGCAACGAGCCGGGCTCAGCTGTATTCATTCTATAACGGGCGCCCGCAAAAGCTCACACAAGCTGGGAACTCTGTGAGTGAAGTTCTGGCGGGCCAATCACAGTCAGCGTGCTATTAAGCTTCGACGTACTTTGTACCGAGCTCATACAGAGAAAAGCGTGTGGCTGATGAGGCGGGCGTGTCCAGGGGCGGGGCTTATTGTCCTCGTGTGTGGTTAGGCTGCATAGTGCGACTCTGCATAGTGCATACACCTCGGGTTTTGATGTGCGGATCTCACTCACGCATTGGCTATTCACTGTTCGTACTGTTCCATGTACGACACTATCACTGCGTTTTTCTGTTCTCCCTCTATACATTGCAGTCCTACCTTTGCCTCTGGTATAGGGATCTGTAGAAATAAATATTTTTCAGACATGACACCCCCCCCCCCCAAAAAAAAAAACTCCCCTTGTACTGAGGCTGCCCCTATACTACAAAGGTTAAATGCTCATCACTACCCTAAATTATTTGTGAGGATGCTGAGGAACAGTCCAAAAGCTGGACTGTAGGGGAGAAAGGTGAGCACCGACAGCTGGGTTGCCACCTGTCCCGGATTTAACTGGACAGTCCGGGTTTTGAGTTCTGTATGTGCTATGTCTGGGGTTCAGCTGGCCTGAAACCTGGAAACAGCACATACAGGACACGAAACCTGGACTTTCCAGGTGAATCTGAGACAGGTGGCAACCCTACCAACAGCCAGGGGAGCACGGATCAGGTCCTAAAGCAGGGCTACTTAACCATTTTTTAGTCATGGCACCCTTTAAGAGTAACCCCAACAGGATCAATTCAAGGCTCTGGTGGGCCCTGGACAAATAGTCCCTATTAATAGTCTTCTCCCTCCCTCTCCCGTACCTCCCACCTAAATAGTTCACACAACATAAACAATATAATATAACGTAAATTTAAATTGCACCCCAAATGCACCTCTGCAATATGCTTGACCGTGCCGCAATGCACAGTACCCCAATACTGTGCAATGTTGCATTTGAAAAAAGTAATGCATGTACCACATTGCAGGATAATGCGTGATTATCGCCAGGGCCGGCTTTAGGCGCCCTGTGCGAGAAAGCTTTACAGCGCCCCTCAGTGACCACACCCCTCAGTGGCCACACCCTTTAGTGACCACACCCATTTTTCCTATTATCCGCATCATTTGACCTCCCTGGCGGTATGATTATGTCAGGAATTTTGTACCAAAAGCGGTACAATTTTTTGCATGGAAATTTGTTGTTTATATTGTAGGCCTGTAATTCTTATTAAATCTTAGGAATAACTCACCTATATCTGTCCAAACAAGAGTCCAGTAGACATCCCAGGTATGATAAAGTTTGAAACACAAAATTAAAAAATTATAATATAATTGGGGCCCCCCCCGCGGCGGGGGGGCGGACGAGGGAGCGCTGTCATGTCAGTGAGGAGGAAAGAAGCCGCCCCGAGGACGAGCTGTGTCTTTGTTGCCATGGCGCCCTGTGCGGCCGCACAGCTAGCTCACCCCTAAGTCCAGCCCTGATTATCGCTTGCGCTTGTTGTGATCATGCCCTAACAGTGCCACACTGATAAAAGCTGGGGAAATGGGGAGTTAAAATGTGAAACACTACTTTCCCCAGCTTCAATGGTGTGGCAGTGTTAAGCTGACCATACACTTATAGATTATCTGCAGATTTTCTATGGTCAGATGGAAAACGTGCAACAGATTCCTCCATCTACACTAAAGTGAGTGGATGGAGGAATCTCCATCTGGTCCAAGCTTCAGTATCTTGCTAGTCGGCCCCGCTGGCTCTCAAAATACCTGAACAATCTGATTGGATGCAGGCATTGTTCAGGTATTTTGAGAGCAGCGAGGCCGACTAGCAAGATACTGAAGCTTGGACCAGATGGAGATTCCTCCATCCACTCACTTTAGTGTAGATGGAGGAATCTGTTGCACGTTTTCCATCTGACCATAGAAAATCTGCAGATAATCTCTAGGTGTATGGCCAGCTTTATTTTCAGATATAATTATACTGCCACACCAAAGAAGGATTACATAGTGCAATACAATCCTCTGCCCTGGGCAAATGCTCACTTTGCCCTCTGAATAACGCGGCCCTACACCCAGTCTAAAATGTAAAAACTTGGGTTTAATAAGGAGTTGCGCTAATATTGCGCAACATAAAAATTTTCAACTACCACCATTTTATTCTATAGGGTCTTGGCATTCAGAAAATATATAATGTTGGGGGGTTTTACGTCATTTTCAGGCCTAAAATGTGGAATATAACATGGGTGCAAAAATTGAAAAAAGGGCCTCAGTCATGAAGGGGTTAAAAAAACTACATGTGGTCCCTCCAAAATCCATACCAAACACGTATACAACATGGATTTTGTGGGGCAGTTTTTGTGGCTAAGCGGGTAATTATGCTCAAATGAATCTTTCATATGCCTCCAACAAAGGAGGACTGGATAAAAGAGTTAGATAAGTTGGTTTCATTTGAGAAATGGCCATTTCAACATTGAGGAGCCACGGAGAAGTATGTTGGTATATGGGGAAGTTGGATAGAATATACTGTATATGTTAACCAAGGACCAGTAAAGCATGTAGTAGAAAAAGGGAGTTTGAGCAAATGGATTAGCAGTATTATTTATGAATAGTATTATGGATTTAATATCAGTGGTAATGGAAAAGGGGAATATAATACATGTTTAAAAGGGGCTCTCCGGTAAAAGTGATTTTGATGTATCGAAGAGGAAAAAAAGTTAATTTAGAAAGGTGTAATATTTACCGGGAGAACTATGAGGTGAGTGCTTTTCACTCACCTCACTGCCAGATGTCACTCACGCAGCTGGGCGGATCTCGACATCGATTACTGGATCCGCTCTGGCTGCGGCGTCTCAGTATACCGCGAGCTCTAGCTCGCGGTATACTGAGCTTAGGGTAACGGGAGGACGCTAGTTTGTGTCCTTCCGTTACCCTAAGGAGAACTATGGGGAAAGCCCTAACCCCATAATTCTCCTTTAATAAAAACGTGGTTAAAAAAAAAAAAATTCCCACAAGGTCACCGCTGCCGCCCCTCTGCACTCTGCCGCCCCGAGGCCGGGCCTCGGTGGCCTTGTGGGAAATCCGGGCCTGTAGGTCTGATGGGAATCTCAGAAACTCAATCAGGTTCCACCCACCCAACAGCAAAACTCCAATATGTGACAGGTACAGTGGCCAGGCAGGAAGCTCAGTAATGCTGAGCCTTTTTTCAGGCTTAGCGTTACTGAGTTGCACTGAGGACAGAGTATCTAATCTGGCCTCAGTGCCAGCCTCCATGCAACAGATTTATGTTCCACAGGTACATAAAGCTGTGGCAAGCACCAACATTAGTACTGCACAGGCCAATGTCCACAACACTGTTTCTGAATTCCAGGGTGTTGAAAATGCAACTGCATATACTGATATGTACTGATTGTATTACTGACATTCTAATGTACTAACTAATATACTGTTATGTCTTTTGAACTGAAGCACAGTATGGCACAGTAGTGCAATGTTAGTCTCTCTATATGCATGCTTATCTATGATACACAGGAAGTTTTCCTATATATCTGTCTCCTGTACAATGCTGTATTCAGCATTCAGATCTAGTAGTTTATACTATGCATGTGTTCATTATATTGTTTGGTAAATTATCTTATCACGTACCTGGCAGAGGACCGAGTGGTTGAGGAGGGCTCCTTTGCAACTCTTGTCCCACACCCCTGAGAGTGGAGACAGGGAGTGAGAGGACAGAGAGCAGCACCGGTGCCAGAGGGTGTAGGGCACTGTACCTGGGTAAGTCCAGAAGCTGGTCTTCAAGAATGCAGTAAGCAGGTGAGGATACAGCCGAAAGGACAGCGAGGAACACTGCTGGAGCAGGACGGAGTCAGGAAGGCCAGGGTCAACACCAATCGGGCAGTGAAGTACAAGAGCAGCAGGCAGAACAATAGTCCAGGAACAAGCAGAGGTCAGGGGCAGGCAGCAGTCAGGCGTAGTCAAAGGAGATCCGGGTCAAGGTAGCAGAACATAGGAACAGGCAGAATTACAGGAATGCACACACAAGCTGAAAGACCATTCAGCAATGATCCATAGAATAGGCAGGTTTAAATATAGCCATCTATCCAGCGGAGCTGCATCATATCCTGTGCGCCACGTTAGTGCGTCTTTGCGCGCACGTTGTGCGCGCATGCACATTAGTGCATGTTTCTAGCAAATGCGGAAGACAGGCCCACGCACATGCACAGAAGCACCCAAACGGCCAGGTATAGTCTTACACATCTATTTGGAAGTCATTGTGCTGGTCCCATTATTGTGACATTTTAGGGACATACACATTCATTAATGCTCTTTAGAGGAAAAAAAATGACAAGCCTTTTTTCTATCTAACTAAGTATATACTCAGCTGAGCCAAACCCGAAGGTCCCTACTTACCTCCTTCTATACAGGATGTATAGCCTCTGGCCCAGTCT